GTGTGTGTGTGTGTGTGTGTGTGTGTGTGTGTGTGTGTGTGTGTCGTGTTCTTGTTCACTACAGACTTGTTATAAAACAATTCTACCAGTTAAGACGCTGCATACTTGTGCTATTGTTGAAATGAAAAGATTCGAGTTACTCCAACTTTGGAAAATCTAATCATTCCAGTTTTAGAGCAAAATAATTATGTAACTCGTACTTTGTCCTGCATAAGGTTACCCCTTAGGCTAAGATATAAACTCGAACCACATAAATAGAAGGGTAAAATGAAGTGTGCACTGGTGCGTGAGCTCAGGCCCTTAAAGGTATTTTGTGTCACCTTTACCTGCAAGGTAGCCAAAACACACAGCGTTCTTTAACGTATAATTATCCAAATACTCCGTCGCGAGAGAAAAGCAGAATGTTATATCTGGGACAACTAGACCGTTAACTAAAAAACAAACAAACAAAACAACAACAACAACAACAACAACAACAACAACAACAAAAACAACACCCAAAAAACAACAACAACAACAACAACAAAACAAAACAAAAACAAACAACACTAGTGCCCAATGACTTTTCTGTCCTTTCAAATTTGTCAGATCTCCTTAGATGGGAAAGAAGGGTGTCAGCACGAATTTTGTAGTTGCTATATCGGCTGACTTTAAGTCCCTGCAAAAGTTCAACTAAACTTTTGTCAAAATGATAATACGTTTGCAAATAAGACAATCTTGCTCCACGCCGTGCCCATGATGTATTATTTGCCTTGCCGTTTCAAAGCCCCCTAGCCGTGAATGTCTAAAGCAGGATTCCCAAATATTAATATTTCAGTACAAGTCAAAGGTTAATGTCGTGCTGACAGAAAAAAAACAACCTTTATTAATCACAAAAGATGGTATTTGAAGCTTCAAAGTAATAGACCAATAATACATTTTCATAAACTGAAGTGTTGAATACAACTTTGAGTGATTTTCTCAAGAGGTCGGCCGACAGTATTAATATTTTGTCTATTATTTCTAAAAATAGTTAACCTCGTTTAACCTTCACCAGCCTAACCTTTTATCAAGCCGGAAATTTGTTTTGATAGGCACAAAGGATTGGCAATTCCGCGTAATTGCTATGAAGCAAGAGCTTCAGAAACTACAGAAATCAACTATAAGATCCAGGAACAGGGTTTTTTAAAAATTAATCATGATTAATTGATACCGCACTAAGTTTTAATGCGCAATGAGTGTAAACATGTATCAGAAAAGGCAAGGCAGCAAGGGGAGGGCGGGGCTGGTAAACAATTATGAACAAGACGCGAACGAGGCAGGCCCGTCTAGCCTAGGGTATCTATCAAGCCCGCACTGAGCAGGATTCATCATGACATTTCCACATTATATTATTATGCTATGCATGGCGTCATCTACCAGGATATGTAAAGGTATATAAATACAGCCGCCGTTGAATTGACGCAACCGCTCAGTCAGTGGACAGCAAGCAGGATGTTCCCAACTTTGGCCTAAATCTTGGGTGCGAGCGTCTCTGAACGAGTTAAGTCTGTCGCTCTAAAGTGCACATTGCATGCAAGACACACTTTCCTTCTTTTGGTTGTTCGCGAAGAGGTTGTGGTGTGGTTGTTCAAAGTTGCTGTTCGTCTTCAGAATTTCCCTTTTTGTCACGTGTGCATATATTATGTGGTGTTTGAAAACGAACGGTTTTCTAAACTATTCTTAGAAAATTAATCGTCGTTTCAATTCGACAATACTGTAGATTTTTGTTTGTTTTTATTTTAATCGAGGAACTCATAAATTTATTAGGCTTTCGAGTGAGGAATAATAATATTTTTGTCTAGTACTTGAGAACACAGTCCAAGCTCAGCGGCAATGCATTTCTTAGGGTGAGTTCACGTTCTGTTTTTGTTTTGTTTGTTTGTTTGTCTGTTTTTTTTTGTTGCATTGGGATTTTTATTTGCAATTTGCTTGATTAATTTTTTTTTTTTGTGTTTTTATTTTGGGAGGGGGGTATATTTTAAAATAATGTGCGTATGGGGGAAAAGAGGAGAGAGAGAGAGAGAGAGAGA